TCCTATCAAACAGGTACCAGGGGCTCTTTCTCCGGAGGTAAAGCGACCTGGGCGTGAAGCTGACCACTCACCTCCAACTAGTGTCCAGGTCAAGAAAACGTGGGTCTATACATCCACTCCCCCATACGCCTTCATGGCGTAGTGCTTAATTAGTTAAGCACAGGGACAACTTTGCGTTAGTTTCTTGGGGTGGGATGAGACTGAGTCCACTTGGTACGTCGGTCACTGTTTGGTTTATTGTACCAGCCCCGGATGATACGTAGATGATGAATGTGGAGCATTTTGCGGAATGAGAATTGGCAGGAGAAATCGAAGTACTCGGAGAAAACCTGCCCCAACGCCACTTTTTTTTCCTTGGCACTACAGCCCCAGTGGGCCTAGGCCTACCTCCATGAACTTCTCCGTTCACTTCGGTTTCTCTTCATCTTACACATTCGGTGTTCAGCTCGTCGCAAGGCCACTACCTGTACACAAACACAGAAACACGCGCACACACAAAGTAAACATCCATGCCCTGAGTGGGATTCGAACCCACGATCCCGGTTTCCAAACGAGCGAAGACAGTACATGCCTTAGACCGCTCGGCTACCGTGACCGGCCCAACGCCACTTTGCCTACCACAATTCTCACATGACCTAACCAGGGCTCGAAGCTGGCCCGCCGCCGTGGGAAGCCGGCGACTAACCGCCTGAGCTATGGCACGGCCTCAAATTTACCTTACCTTATCTCAAACCGGAATGAGCCTAAACTCTTCTTAGGCTTAGCAGCAAGTTTTGGGCTGACCTTACATCGTGTTGGAGTAACAATTGTTCCGGTGTCCCCCACAAATGTTGTCGGGCCTAAAATACATCCGTTCATTTTTTTAACTTACACTTCTATGTTTCGGTCGTAGCGACCAACTTGAGAATACTTTGAATACAACAATTCATTGTAAATAGAATAATTATAATAATTTATAAATGTTATAACAGTCATACATATCGTAGTAATTGTTGCAGGATAATATTTTATATCTATGACATTGTAATAGTAGTACTGTAAGTACTGATAATAATTACCACTGACACTGTAATAGTAGTTTCCGTATGTATCGATAATGTCCTCACGAAGATGGTTGGTACGGCCGAAACATGTAAAGGACGAGAGATTAAAGGAACACAACCCTTATCAATAACCCTGGACGGCATTAATAATCTTTTATACTATTGCTAGTGTGACGGACCAGGATGAACCAAGCCAAAGCTTGCTTGGATATCACATGTACTTTCTAGATGCTTTGGTCACCGCGCAGTTCCATTGAATACTATTTGTACAGTATTTTTGTTTCTGAATTGTGGACATTCTGTGTTAAGAGTGCACTTTGTTGTATATCCGCATTCGGAAGAGGAAACATAAATTCGATGCTGTGATTTCAAAACGACTTTTATTAATATTGCATTTGAGCATCCTGCTTCATTATTTGATCACTATATATATAAACAGCTTTCCCTGTAACAGGCCTTGGGAGACCTAGAGCAGTGAGACGTTGAGGGTCCCATATTATTCAGACAAAATCGGTTCACAGATGGCGGTGAGTTTGTCAGACTTACCCGCCGGCCGCCCTTTACCCCCCCCCCCCCGGGAGACTTCCCAGCACCTTTTTCTCTTAGAGAGTCTCTATCCCACAGGC